CATAGGAAAGAATTATATATGTTGGCCATTAATAATAAATTCCTTTTCCTATATCAAAGAATCACACATTAAACATTTAATTCTTTGATAAAAAAAACAATCCTAATATCCATTAAAAGAGGTTGCCTACCAAGGAAATTGAAATACCAATATTAACATCATTTTTTTACATAAATACTAAGATCAATAATTGTCATCATTAATAACAAAATATATAGAGCAAGAGTGTCTAAAATATTGAGCATCTAATAAAATATAATTATCGTTAAGAGCATCCAACATATTGAACATTTAACAAAATATTCAAAAGTCATTAATAATACTCAAGAACCACATTGTAAGCATCTAGCTAACGAAATATATAAAACTTAACAATAAAAGTCATCGTCTAATTAGAACTATAAAATATCGTCATTATCACTTTCTTTTGTATTGATGCTGGGTATTGAGTTGCTGCCCTAAGCATATCATTATCAGCTATAAGAGACCAATATATGTCAAGTAATCTTACAGCATCACACCTACACTCTTCAAGTATTTTTCAAATTTCTTCACCTGACAATTGTGGTACCTTCTTTAAACTTTGTCCCACATTACATTTCCTTATTGAATTGTCTCAGCCAGAGCTAACATTGCTCCTATTAACTCATTTAGATTAGCCTCCGTCTCTTTAGATATCCTCTTTGTCTTCTTGCTACATGCACCATTAATAGGGGTGAGTGCTCTTGGTCAGGTGAGTTTTCTTGTCTATTAGGCTCAACATTAATTGTAGCTCTATTTTGTGAGATAATGTTGTTAATATCATTAATAATTTCAATGACTTATTCTTAAGAATGACATCTCTTTCTCCACTTATGTGCTGTCTCTCTCTTATCTCACTAGCTCTATCTACTCCATATAACATCATCATTTTTTTCATAGTTTGGAAAAGGAGTAGTTCTCTATAATGCTGCTTTTGGTTTAGCCTAGAAAACAATGAAATAGCATATTAAATTGATTTGGTAAAAGGCAATTTAATTGCAAATGCATGCTTTCCCATTTCCAAAGACCATTAAACAAGTATAGCCATAAATTGACCAATTTTAAATTACAAAAGAATAATATAATTAATGCATATATAGGAAATTTACCTCAATTAATGCATCCCAAACTTCAAGCTTAGCATCCCATACTTGAGTTGTTGGATTCCAGGTAAACCCACTCAAATTTTTAAAAACGTCATATACATCTGAAAAGTTTTTCTTTAAAGTCTTCCATCAATTCTTCACCTTTTCCTTGTCAATTTGTTTATCAAATAAAGCACTCAAATATTTATATATGTTATCATAAGCTGTAGTTGTAAAAGTGTCATTAACTTTATAGCCCTTATTATATTTAGTCATAAAAGCATCAATGAGACATCATCCATTAATCTTGTCCAATTCAATGTTTCCTTATTATTGTTTAGTGCCATCCTATCACATAATATAATCGCATAATATCAATCCTAATATTAAAAGCTAAACAAATTTCAATGTCTATCTAAACAAACAATACATAGCAAATAAAAGTTAATGTAATAACAAATTTCAATGTCTAATCAAACTTCAATAAAACTCAATATAAGTCAATGTAATAATACAACACATTTCAATGTATATAATAATACAATAGATTCTCTAATTTATTGAAAAAAATGAAATTTCAATAATCAAGTCCATCCTCAAGAGCATCCAGATGTTCCTGATAACCTACCCATATCTGATTGGCTATATTTTCTCTAACAAGTTTACCTTGAACAACCTCATTAATGTCACCTCTTTAAGCATGATTATTATTATTTGAATGGTTTTGTCTTGTAAGGGCAGCATCAACTTCTTTTAAAAGATCTTCAACAAGGTTCATGCTCACAAGAAAGTTATGAAGAATGCAACATACATATATTATCATTTTTTGAGTTTTGATTCCATATGTAGGTTCAATTGCATTGGATAGAATGTCAAATCTTTTTTTTTTCAAAATGCCAAAATCATGTTCAATGGCATTGTGTAACTTTGCACTTCAAATGTTAAATAACTCTTTATAATTTAAGGGTGAATTCTGTTTTGAATATTCTTTTAAATGATAGCGGACTACCCGATAAAGTGTTATAAGGCCTCTTGTTAACATGAATCCAGCATCAACAAGGTAATATTTATCTATCATAAAGGAAAATAATTACTATAATAACTTTACAATCACAAATGTAAACTTTATCAAAATTGATAAAATATTTACCTTCAAGAATTATAAGCTTATCTTTTTGTATTAATGCATTTTTAATGATTATTGAGTCAGGTGCAGTACCTTCCTATCCAAGGAGCACATAAGTGGGCTTTAGATCAAATGTACATGCTGCTAACATGTTTTGTGTCGAGAAATCTTTCTACATAGTATCTAGGAGCATCTAAAGAAGGCACATTGACTCGTATATAGGTTCCATCAAAAGCACCGACACAATTCTTAAAATATGGAAAGAACTTCTTATCCTTTTCAATCTTAAGAGGGATGATTGAGCCATTAGGTTAAACAAGAAATTTTTCTTTTAAGTCAATGATAGTTGTCAAAACTTGATAAAAATGGTGACTAATTGTCTCACCAGAATGCCTAAACTAAAAATTTACTTCACAATTTTTTGCATAATGTGTCAATAGAGTTTTTGCACCATTTCTTTCACACTTGATCATCATGTGGGTACCAACCTCTCTTTCTAATATACGACACTATGCCAAGAAAGTTTTAGGAGTCATTTTAATGATATTTTGACTAGATAGACAATCACTAATTTGACTCATTATTTCATCACATGCCATTTCTCTCTTGCCACTTAAACTGTAACTTATTTTCTTCAAACACATCTCACTTGCATATACTTTTACAAGAACACAAGTAAGAAAAGCTAGTGCTCTTTGACATAATTTAAACCAGTGTTACATTAGTAAAAGATATTTAGATTCCTTGCTCATCTAACAAGGTAACCAAAAAAGCATAATGCAAATCAATAAACAAGCCACAATTATCATAAATGAGAACAAAAAATACAGTTTAATTAGCATAAAACAATGATCATATATATTACATACTTGGCTAAAAAAGGAAAAAAAGCATTAATAAATTTTTTATTCATTAACACTTACAAATTACTACATTTTTCTCTCATTTTATCCCCTTAACTCATATCAAAGTCCCTGTAAGATTTTTTTCGGACCAAGAAATAAGTGTATCAAGAACAAATACATGCAGCAGTTAATCCTCGATGCAAGAAAATTGAGGCATCTATACAATCATGTGTCATCCACACAACAGATACAATTCCCAACTAACAAACTCCTAAGTGGTCTAAAATTAACCTGTTTAACAATATGGACAATCCCAAACAATTATGCTCTAATGTCTTAGGTAAAAAAATGTACCATAAGATTAAAAAATCAATACTTGAGCATCTTACTAAGATTTCTAAAGATAAGAAATGTGAGTATGTAATTGTGACTTAAACTCCTCAATATCAAACACAAACAAAAGCCAAGTCGACGTAGAATACAATAGATACCAATAATAACATATCACCACAACCCAGAATTTAAAGTGGAGCTCACTACAAGCAATAAATATATCAGTTCCCTTTGGCTCTGTCGAAACCTCCAGAATAGAGATCTTAGAGCTTTAAAAAGAACGCTATAATATTCCAATTAAAAAATGCAAACGAGAACACAAGGAGTAATTTAAAGTCAAAGAGAGATTATAGGTTTTGTTCCACAAGTCAAGGTGAGTGGATTGTTAGAAGAAATATCCATTTGGCTCAATCATGAAGCTGTAAATTTCAAGAGCAACATAAAATAGAGAGAACAATTGGAGATAGAGAATCTCAAGCTATGAATTTCAAGAGCACAAATCTCTCACTTGGGTTCTATGACCTACTTCACAGATTATTAGTTACAGAGGATAAAGATGGTGAATCTTAGAACAGGGCTCGAACGGAAAGAAAAGAAAGCTTAGGATGAATCTCAGAATACGACGAAGTGGATGAAGCTCAAATCAAACAGAAATAGCAGATCCATTCAAAGCAAAGATAAAAAGTGGGCAACATGAGCAGAGAAGAACTCACAGTTCAACTGGACGATGTATGGTGAGAGTTTTAAAGAATCTGATGGGATGATGCACAGCGGGAGCTCTAACCACTTTAGAGAAGATGCATGGCGGGAGCTTCGAACACTCCAAACAAGATGCATGGTGAGAGGTTTGAGTAATTGAAGAAGACCCATGCATAAGAGAAACCAAACATTTGCGAAGATAGAGAGCAGTCGTGTGTTTATTTTCTTCCAAGGAAAATATGGGAATATAACAAAAATCATGAGGGTAAATTAGTCAATAAATTTATCTCTCTTCCAAAAAAATCTCAATTTAGAGGGAGAAATTTTTTTAACCAAATGAACAAAATGGACCCACTCCCTTCTCCTCTCCTTCATTTTCCTCCAACCAAACAAAGTTTAAAATAAAAATAGACTTTCCTTTAAAACAAAAATCACCTCAAGACATATTTTTCACTTCTATCTCTCCCTACAAGACAGGCATCACTCTGATCCTGCTACAATTACAAAAGGAATATCATATTGTTCGAACAACATTTTTATGAAACACAGTAAAATATATTAAGATAACTCTAATAATTCAGATAAAAATATAATTCAAATTTCGTCCTTCTTGGGTTTTCTTTTTAAAATTAAAAATAGTAAATAAGATGAATAAGTTTTTTAATAAAATATGATGAAAAATAATAATACATGTACGGATGAATGAATATAAGTTTTTAACCAAATTGAAAAATTATTTAGTTAATTATTATTATTTTTGGACCGACATTTCTTATTGTTATTATTTTTTCCCCCGGGCTGTGGCCCGTGGGTACTGGGTCGGCAGTGGGCGAAGAAAACTTGCAAGTTGGCCGGGTAAAAGATGGAAACATGAAAAAGTAGGGCTGTACCGAGTCATTGCCCAATTGCCCGCATAACCTTAACCTAATTCCCAAAATCCCCATTCCCCTGCTGGCTTGCTGCGTCCGCCGTTCCTCGACCTCCTAATCGTCGACGAGCATCACCTCGCAGCCTCGCCACCGATCAGAAGTTCGCTTCTGTTTGCCGCCTTCTGCGGTTGAGATCGTCATCGCCGTCGATCCCGAACTATCTGCCCGTTCTAGGCGTGGTAGTTCTTCTGCCTCTGATATGCCATTTTATCCAGGCTCCTTCACCGTTCGGGTTCAACTCTCCTCTCGTCATTCGGCGTGGTATTCATCGTTGCTCCAACTCTCTGGATGTTTTTTTTAACCTCGACATCGGTTCCTACTTCTATTGATTGGATTTATTCGGGCATTTACGTTTTTCTGTGCTCATTTTTGTTAGAAATATTTGCGAAGAATGATTACGTTTTCCTCTAAGTTTCTGTTCTTGTCTTTTGATCGGTTCTCGCATATTGTGTTTTGTTTTTAGTGGGTTCTGGCATGCGTAGACAGAATCTCTGGGATATAGCGTCTTTACCGTGTTTTTATTTGAACAGTTGTTCCTGTTTGTGATTGTAGATATACATATTATACATGGCAACAGCTGAGGCCGCTCCGGCTGCTCTTGGTCCACGATACGCACCTGATGATCCCACCCTTCCAAAACCCTGGAAGGGATTGATTGACGGAAGTACGGGTCTATTATACTATTGGAATCCTGAAACCAACATCACCCAGTATGAAAAGCCTACAGCGCTGCCACTACCCTTACCTGCTGGGCCACCTGCTGCAGCTTCTACGCCCAAGTTGGCTCCCATACCAGCGGCTCATTCAGTGCAACCTGGTGGGGTGGTGGCACAGCATGGGCAGCAGTTACTACAAACCTCTCACCAACAGGGACAGCAAATGAGCCACCTATCCCAACAGCATAGTCCCCAGGTGGCACAGGTTGCTCAGCAGCAACCTTCTCAAGGAGCACAAGCTGGACAACAACAGAGTTCACAGTCACTGCAGTCTATGCCACAACCAGGTTTGCAACAAGTCCGACAGCCGCAGATGTTACAGCCTCTGAGTCAGCAAATTCCACCACACCAAATGCATCATCAGATGCCACAACAAGCCATCCATTCACAACCTTTTGGGCAAGGAGCTACCCAGGATCATAGTTCATATATGGGACAGCCACAAGCTCATCAATTCAGTCACCAGAACCCACATTACATGCCGTATTCACAAAGCATGCACTCAAATGGGCAGCAAAGTTCCCAACCGATCCAGCATAACATGCATGGTCAGCCATTGGAAAATCAACAGGAGTTTAAAGCAGCATTCCCAAAGATAGAGGATGTAGATTTTAAAAATGGAAGTCAAGTTGGACTTTCACCATCCCAGTATCAACAAAAGAGTGCCTTGCCTCTGCAAAGCAATCAGAACATTCCTGTTGGTATTTCCTCTGTCCAGGGGCCACGTGTTGGTGTTCATGCTGGCCAAGCACAACCATTTGGTGCTTTGTCTGGTAGCATGCAGCAACCTTCTGCAGCAATTCAATCGCAGCAGGGTAGTGCTGATTTAGTTTATCAACATCGTCATAGTTTTCAAAACCAGATGGGCCCAGGAATGATGCATGGTCAGCCATCTAATGCCCATCCTGTTGACCTAAAGATGGGACATGAGGATAATTTACGTGTTAGAGCTGCGAATGAATATTACTACAACTCTGGCAAGGAGATGACATCAATGGGTTCTCAGCAGCCAAATATTGCACCAATACCTATTTCAAGAAATCAGCAGGCTTATCAGCAGGTTTTTTCGTGTGTCAAGTCTAAATCATTTCCATACTAATTTATTTGATGAAATATTTTTTATTGGTGTTTGACTGTTACTGACATGAGATTTTTTCTTCTTCTTTTTTTGGGTGTTATTAAAGTTCTGTTGACTTCTAATGATTAAGGGAAAATTTGTACTCCTAAATAACTACAGTTGCTGGCATACTGTTCTGAAAATTATGTTTATGTTTCCGATTAGATGCTATAAAGTAAGAAGAAAAAGCAGTTCAGGAAATATATCCCTTTGGGTGTCCTTGTACTTTTGGGAAAATGTCACTTCATCAGTCCTATCTGTACATAATGCTTGTGTTAAAAACTTCCCTTGTTCTCATTTATGTTGCTTTCTTAGTTAACCATTCTATTTTAATATTTTCTCTAGAGTGTACGTGTGATGTTCTAATTAAGTGTTGATCTTAAGCAGTTGATTGTCTTCTATATCATTGCAGGATATGAGGATCGGCAGTTCCCCTTTTCAAAATGCAACGCCTGGTGGAAATGGGGTAAATGGTGTCCCAGGGGATGGTATGCATAACATGTTTAATCCTCCGATTGGGGGCCCTCCACCAGTTGCTAGCAACTCCTTGACAAGGCCTCATGTCACTGATCTGTCACCTGCTGAAATTTACCGTCAGCAGCATGAAGTTACAGCAACGGTCCGTACTTTTCCTTTTGAGATTATTTTTTCTTGCAGTATGTCAACATTTTTGTTAACATATCTGGATACAGAGAGGTGTTTGATGTTAACATTTTTGTTGAATTTGTACAGTATCATGATTATCTCTCACATTAGAATTATGATTCTTTTTAACATAAAAATATGCTTCCTTGTTCATGTTTAATATGACTTTTTTCATGGATAGTGCTGTGCACAAAGTTTTTTGCAGCACACTGGTGTGGGTTGGGCTTTGTTGTCATGCAGATTACTTTTGTTTAAATTTTCTGTTTGTTGTATTATTTTGTCCTGGGCTGTTCTGACGTCAGTATTTGTCTTACATGGCAGGGTGACAATGTTCCTCCCCCCTTCATGACATTTGATGCTGCTGGGTTTCCTCCAGAGATTTTGAGAGAGGTAAGCTTACACACTTATGTTAAAGGTGCTGCATTTTTTTGATAATCCCTAATGAAGTCATGGGTCCACTCTTTTTTCTTTGGTCTTTTCCTTAAACTTTACTTTTAAACTCATCTGTTCTCACTTGTCGCAGGTGCGATATCTGCTCCGGAGCAGGAGCATATGTCGTACGCTGCAGCTATTGTCACACTTACATGTGCAACTACTATCCTGATTTTTGGAGCCTGCAAAATGGATGGTTGGAGCCTTTCTTGGGCATCTTCTAGAAGGGTGGTTCGCCCTTTATTCAAATTTCACCTTATGTGACATGGGATTTGTTGCTTATTGGCTCCGCCTCTTAAGTCTTTATTGCCCTTTTTAGTTGCTTCAGTAAGCAACCATAACCTATGGGTCTTTTTATTGTTGTCTGCTAAATTATGTGTGCCATTGAGTGTTATTGTTTTGTTGAAAATCACAAGGAACTGGATGTATCCAATGTTCACGGTGTTTATTACCTGCACATGCTCTTATTTCAGATCTATTCTGCGGGCTTCTCAACTCCAACACCTATTCAAGCTCAAACATGGCCTGTTGCACTACAGGGTAGGGACATAGTGGCTATTGCCAAAACAGGCTCTGGAAAGACATTGGGTTACTTAATGCCAGCATTTATGATTCTTAGACAGAGGCGTAACAATCCCCAGAATGGCCCCACAGTGTTGGTATTGGCTCCAACACGTGAACTTGCAACACAGATTCAAGATGAAGCCATAAAATTTGGCCAATCTTCAAGGGTCTCCTGCACGGTCTGTATTCAGTTTTAAATTTATCATAATCTTACTTTTATATTTAATCTTCGCTCAGAAATTTAGTCTGTTGACTTGGTTTTTAACATGTCTCGGCACGTCTCTCAAATTCATTCCTCTCTGCAGTGCTTGTATGGTGGGGCACCAAAAGCTCTTCAGCTAAAAGAGTTAGATCGTGGAGCAGACATTGTCGTTGCTACACCTGGCCGGCTCAATGACATACTTGAGATGAAGAAAATTGACTTTGGGCAAGTCTCACTTCTTGTGCTTGATGAGGCTGATCGAATGCTTGATATGGGTTTTGAGCCTCAAATCCGTAAGATTGTGAATGAGATACCGCCACGCAGGCAAACTCTTATGTACACAGCAACATGGCCTAAAGAAGTACGAAAAATTGCTGGTGACCTCCTTGTTAATCCTGTCCAAGTTAATATTGGAAATGTTGATGAGCTTGCTGCAAATAAAGCTATCACACAGGTATTGGATTAGTGCCCCCGTGGTTGAAACACAGGCTTATGATACTTTCTGCCTGTTGCTTTCTAAAAGCTTTTAAAGCTTATTTGTTTTGGTGAACAGTTTATGTTTTCCTTTCCTGGCAAATTTTGATTGCTGCTCTTGTAGGTGTGTTTCAAGTATTATTAGCGTAAGAAATATTATGCAATGAATAAATTCCTTATGTTGAGAAGATCTTTTGGGAATCTGCCTATCTCTTGTGCATGCTCCTGTGTTTTTTTCTTCTCGAGTATGTACATGCCATTATTTATGGAGAGATCAGCAAGTTTTATATATATGCTTTTATATCAAGCTTGGACACCTAATTTCTGGTGTGTTGGGCCGAACTTTGACAGCACAATGGAACAGACAACATATGTTCATGCTTGTTAGTATAAATAATTTTTTCAGCTTGAGCATGTGTCTAGCATGGCTGACACTGCAAAAGAAGAAAACAAAACATAACACCAAGAAAAAAAGATACTTTGAGACTAAATCCTATCTTGATTGATGAGATGATGGTCCATAACAGGAAGGAAATCCATCATAGGTTTGTAATTCTTAAAATTGGGGCTTCATATTTTTAAATTTTTCTATATTTTGTGCAAAAACACCAAAATCAGTATGCCTTTGGGAATGCTTGTGTATGTATAATGGAGATATAATTTCAATATTGGTATAAATTCTCGGAATCAATCCACAGAGTGTAAGTCCATTGGATTAAGCTTTAAACAGAGTAGAAAAGTGGAAAACACTGGGCCTCCTAGCTGTTTGAGACGCAAGGATCTCCCGATATAACACTGCTGACAGCCTACCTCTCTCTTCCGTTCACATCAGACCTGATCTGGTGTAATTCTAATTAAATTATAAATCTAAGTTATTTGGTGTCTACAATCCATGTAGCTGATTCCACCTAGTGGGATTAATTCTTCTTCTTCTTCTTCTTCTTGTTCTCTCTAGACTTATCTCTTGATTAATTCCATATTTGGTGCAACAATCAAAACACTCCTTCCTTTCTTTGTTTATGAACGTTGTGGCATTTAATGCTTAGATTTATTGCCTGGTAATTATGTTCCTGAGCTGGACCTGTGTGCTACCGATTCTTTTGCTACATTTTGGTCTATTTAAATGTACATTCTCCCTACACTTTGTACAGTCTAGTTAATCAGCTGACTAATGAATGTAATCAAACTATTTATAAGTATAATATTAATTGCTTTTATAGAAATAGAGATTTCAAGATGCTAAGTTGTTGCTTGGTATATAGCTTGGATGATATATTTTTTAGAGATCTTGAATGAGTTGGTCTTCCTTTTTGTCTTGTGCTCATATGTGCCATTTGCAACCTTTTTTTTTTTCCTTTGAATATAACTGCAATGTGAGATTTTTTTTGTATATGGTGATTCATTTTCCTTTTGATGTCCTGTAATCTTGAAGTATGTTGAAGTTGTCCCACAAATGGAGAAACAAAGGCGTTTAGAGCAGATCATCAGAGCCCAAGAACGAGGTTCCAAGGTCATAATATTTTGTTCCACAAAGAGGTTATGTGATCAACTGGCCCGTGGCATGGGCCGTAATTTTGGAGCTGCTGCAATCCATGGAGACAAGTCTCAAGGTGAAAGAGACTGGGTTTTGAATCAGTTTAGGACTGGGAAGTCGCCAATTCTAGTTGCCACTGATGTTGCTGCCCGTGGGCTTGACATCAAGGATATAAGGTTAGCTGCTTTTTAGTTGCACCTATAGTGTTTGACAGAAATTTATTTGTTTTTTAATATAATATCTGAATTATTAGATTACAGTTATCTTCTGAGTTTATGATGGTCTTTGTGCCATTCACATGTTCTCAATTACATTCTCTGAAATTACCAATTGCAGGGTTGTGATCAACTATGATTTCCCTAATGGAATTGAGGACTATGTGCACCGTATTGGACGAACAGGAAGGGCTGGAGCCACCGGAGTGTCATACACCTTTATCTCTGAGCAGGACTGGAAACATGCAGGTGACTTGATTAAAGTTTTGGAGGGTGCTAACCAGCTTGTGCCTCCAGAGTTACGACAGATGGCATTGCGTGGGCCAGCTAACTTTGGAAAGGATAGGGGTGGAATGAGCCGTTTTGACTCTGGTGGTGGCCGTTGGGAGTCTGGTGGCCGTGGTGGCACAAGAGATGGCGGCTTTGGCGGTCGTGGTGGCATGAGAGATGGCAGCTTTGGTGGTCGTGGTGGCATGAGAGATGGTGGTGGGTTTGGTGGTCGTGGTGGCATGAGGGATGGTCCAGGTGTGCAAGGTGGAAGAGGTGATTTCTTTCCTGGTAGGGGCAACAGGGGTCGGGGAATGGGTGGCCCTAGAGGTGGTCATGTTGGCTGGGGTAGGGGTGAACGTGACTCTCATGATCGTTACAGCATGGATGGGCGAGGACGTGGGCGTGGCCGTGGGCGTTTTGACAACAGAAGAGATATGAGTTACAGGAATAGAGGCAGAAGTTACAGCCGCAGTCCTGAAAGGGTTCGAACATGGGATTATAGCAGAAGTCGCAGTAGAAGCAGAAGCAGAACACGAAGCAGGAGTAGGAGCTGGAGTAGGGGTCGCAGTCGAAGTCGCAGCTGGTCTCGTGGCCAGAGTCGCAGTTACAGCCGGAGTTGCAGTCGCAGCCATGGCCGCAGGAGTCGAAGTTATAGCCGCAGCCGCAGCCGCAGCCGCAGTTGCGGCCGTAGTCAAAGCCACAGCAATGATAGACGTGATAGACCGGATCAACTTATTTCTGATCAGAATGAGCATAGAGCACAAGTAGAAGCTACTGAACCAAGAACAGTCACTACGTCTTCCAGGTCCCAGGGGAACTCACTTCTGGGTACTGAACATGTGGAGCGGCTACCGGATGTTGGTAGTATTGAGACAGTTAATTCAGGGGCTGTAGTGGACCCTTGCCTTCAATCAGATCCTAATGTCTAGAGTCTTGCTTTAATTCTCCTGATTTTGGAAGGGCACGTCCTACTTTTGCCCACCGGTTGGCTATGTTAAGCTCTTCACATATTTGGGGTATTGGCTTTGGATAATCTCACAGGAAACCGAGGTTAAATCATCCGAAGACTTGTTTTAAGAAATCTTCACACGTCTCGGTGGAAGTAGCAAATCTTAGGTTGGCTGGAATATAGTTAACATTTATTTTGATCATCTTTGCTGTATTAATTATGGAATTGGGATATTGGCTGCTGGGGCGCAATTCTTATATTCTTGTGTCGTCAAATGACCTTCGTGGTAATTTTTGTTTCTTTGGTTTCATTGAAAGTAACCCGTTATCTACTCGTATAATATATATTTTGCACTGTTCAATCCTTTTGTAGTGTAGGTTCTTTTACAGAGCAACATTGTCATCGCATCACCAAGTATTGTTGAGTGTCACCCAGTTTTAGGCATTTTCACTGCATAAGATCTATATGGCTTAAACCTGATGCATTTCTATGGATCTTGGTTGTGCTAATTTTGTGTTGTCTAAGATTGTGAATTAGAAAACTATGCCTTGAGATATATAACTGTTTTGTCACCTTCGATTCGGGGAATGGATGTTTTGGTAGTGTCAATGAGAAAACATAAAAATGGCTGCTGATAAAGTGGGAGTCATTTTATAGCCTCTACTTTTAACAACCTGTGCATTGTGCGCTGGGGGAAGCAAAAGAAAGTGGGTGGGCCCCAGCATGGGAAGGTGGTGGGAAAGAATATGGGATCGCCTTAGCAAGATTGGAGGCCTTGCAATGTATGGGCTTGGAGATTTGGAGCCTGCTAAGCTTTTTGATTTTCCAGGCCCATTCCCCTTGTATCTCTTGTCAGCATGATGTTGTCTCCAAACAATAAATTTATTCTTTTTTCTTTTTTTAAAAATGATTTAATTTAATTTAATCTATTTTCGCCACTTTTCTTTTTTACATCAAGGGAGCTTCAGTCAGAGACTTTTTACGTGTATTCTACCTGGTTCTCTTTAATCATCATTATTTGTTTAATTTTCTTCTATTTCTTGTGTTCTGAATATTAGGCCCTCAATCAGAATGCACCAGTCGCATGTATTTTGAAAAGAAATTTTGACTTTAATTTCTTGTTCCTTAAGACTGGAATACGCTTGTTGAAGTTATATGATTTTTTTTTATTATAATTTGGCCCCTCTCTTCAAGCAAATCGCTCAAGATAAATTCCTGGAACGTCCAATTTATTTAAAAAAGAGTCAGACGAACCAGATATTAAAATTTTCTATCTTGAACTGCCACCACTATTGGCGCCAAAAAAAAAGAAAAAAAAAAGAAAGAGCTGCCACCACGCTAAGCAACTTATCCATTGACCGGAAAATATATCAATATGATTTAAAAAGAAAGAAAGAAAACTATTAACTGTGGTAGGAGGTAAGGGTAGTGAAAATCAATCCAAATTGATCATATCAAATTAAATTAACATGAATCGATTAAAATTGATTTTAAATGAAGATTGGTTTGTTTTTTCTTTCGATAAAATTGATTGGTTCAAGTTTTAATTTTCGGAAATTTAAACCAAAGTGAATTAAATTTTATTATATTTATTACATATATTTTTATAAATTTATCAATTTTTTCCTTTTTTAAATTTAGTTATTTTTAAATCATTAATAAAAATAAATTATAATTAATTAAATGTTGTTTATAATTTTTCAAGATAATTTTTTAATTTTATACTCAAGTGTTTTAAGGATAATGCATTGATTTTTAATAGTTAAACATGTTAATTAATTATTAAAAAATATTCTTTTATGCTCAAGAGATTTTTAATTGTAAATAATAATTAATAGTTAAAATTTACTAATTAACATGAATGTATAATAGTGATTATGAAAAATATTTTATTAAAAAAAATTTAAATTTGATCCAGATCTAAACCAAATCAAGTTGAACTAAATCACTCAAAAATTAAATTAAATTAATTAAAATAAAAAATTGAATAAGTTTTAAATCATAATAAATTGATTGGTTTGATTTGGTAATTTTTTTTTTTGTTCAATTAAACCACAACAAACCAAATTGAACTTGTGACGAAGAAGATGGCAGAGAAGGCGAGAGACCTTCTCCTCTCTCTGGCTTCCTGGGCAAAAACTATCAAGGGGCGAGGCTATTTTGACAGCGCTCATTGTAGACACAGACACTGTTGGCAGAGAGTGGAGCAATAGAAATGGGAAAATCAATAAATTAAGCAAAACGTTCCTTGGACCACTTTTAGGTGTTGTTGACTGTCACCGTAACCCTTACTATCTTGCGTAGTAAGAAAGCAGGGCAAGCGGCGCCGTTTTGGCCTTGGTGTTGTTTTACATGTTGCCCCATTCGAGTTTGTTCCGTGGCGTTTCTGCTGTATCCGGAACAACGTAGGGCTATTTTCGGCAATCTGGCAGAATCTACATAATGTTTCGAAACGCTTTGCATCTTTAAATCTGCAGGAATCTCTATTTGCGCGTCTCTTTTCTTCTTCATTTCTCTATCTCTCTCTTCGACTCTCTCGACAACAGACAGTCTCTCTCTTCTGTTTTCTTACACAAGCCTAAACCGCCAAAGGCTCCCTTGGTCCACTTGATGGTTAGGGTTTCTTAGGCATCTCTGCGCTATTAGGATGTTGCTGGAAAATCCTCCTTCGCTGCTGGGAGCCCTGAATTCCAATCTTAGGGACCTTTTCGTGTCACCCATGGCTTGATTCAATAGTTTTTTCCTTCCGTACGGGTACCTCTTCGTTTCGCCCTTTCTCTTCCTTTGTTGATTCATTCCTTGTATTTGGTGGATTTCAGTCATGCTCCAGTAATGTGAGGCCTTTGTCTTTTTGAAGGGTTATATATTGGGGTGGATTTGAGCCATTTACTCCTTCTTTTCTATTCTTTGGTTACCTGGTGTTGCATTTGTGAGTGAAAATGTTTGTTTCCTGTGTTTACTGGCTAGATTTTTGCTTTTTCGTGAAATTGGTTTCATATTTTGCGAGTTGCTAAGTTTTTCTGTGATTTGTAGGTTGAAGAACTTCAATATTTAGCATTTTAGCGGTTATCGTTGAAGGGTTTTGTGTGTAATAAAAAATTGTGATTTTTGGTTTTGAAGGTAAATTGAAATTTGACGAATAGTGTAAATACTCAAGGGAGGTGTTATCTATTTCAGGCTTGTAGCCAGTTGAGCAGTGTTCTTATCTTTGCTTCAGTTTCCTTTACCCCTATCTCTTCTTGAGAGGATGATTGGGTTGGTTGTACTGTTCATTTTTTGGAAAATATTTCTTACTCGTGTTGCATTTTCTAATATCAAAGGAAGTTCTGCTGTTCATTTATGTCCTCGGAATTAAAAGTTTATACACCTATGCTTGAATGTATTGATGCATCTTTGGGCATTTTGCTGTTAAATTATCAGAAATTAACACAGCTTAAAAGTATGCATGTTGCATGAGGTGTGCATTTAGAGTTAGAGATAGTGCAAATACCTGTCAGCGCTAAGGATGCAATGAATTCAATTGATATGATTGAGGCATTGTTATTTATTTACATTTTTCTGGTCAAAGAGAGTACCAGAAAGATTGGAGTAGAGAAATCTATTTCCATAGATTCTGACACATTCATCACTGTTTCTTCTGGGGATGCCGATGTCAGTAACCCTGGCTTTCATGTTCGTTGGACTGCATAGTATTTATACTAGATTTATGAGTGGTTTTATGAAGCATGGATGCTATGATTTGAGTATGACATAGAGGGATTTGGCAACTTTTAATAAATACGTGGTGAGAAATGGAGTGTAAAGAGTATAGAGTGAATTGGAAGTTCTTAGTATGTGCACCTCTTGCTGCGTAGTGAATAACAGAGTAGGAGTACAGAGTGAGTTGGAAGTTCTTAGTGTGCGTTCCTCTTGCTGCATAGTGAATAATAGGGTAGGAGCACAGAGTGAATTGGAAGTTCTTAGTGCGTTCACTTCTTTCTGCACAGTGAAAACTTCAAGCTCTTAAAAGATAAGGATGTAGTAAAACTACTGTTTTATTGCATTAAGAATTAAGATAAAGAGCGGATATTTGCTGAACACTGTACAATCATGGAGAATAGAGACGAGAAGAAATGAAAGAGAAATTCAGAAGACATGTCAATCATGTCCGGAGGTCGAGAAGGCTTGTTTCTGAATATCTAAAGTGAAGCATTAATGTGGGCTGTCCAAGCTTTATCTAGAAATATTAAGGTCTATCCGTTATGAAGTATTTTTTTTCTTTTAATTTTTTTTAACTCGGATACTCCTTGGTTAGGTATTGGGCTGTATTTTATGCGTATTAGGCTTGGGTACATGGAGGTCACATATATAAACCGTTTTGAATTGTAGGTGCTTCCTAGGAAGTTGCCCATGAGTGTATTTTTTTTATTTTTGACATGTTATAGATTATATATGTTATTTTTTTCATTTGATGAAATCTGTTTTTTGGGAAAAAAGTTATTTCTTGCCTTCTATTTTATTGTTTTTAAATTTTAATTATTTTGTGAGCTTATTCTTTTATATTGATTTATGCAGTGGTGGCAGTTTTGATATGGAAATGTATGATGTTTCTGAAACTAGAAACCCAGATTCTTGCTTGGTAATTTTTTGAGTTCATGTAACTTATGTTCCTTGACCTTAACCATATGAACGCTGCTTAATAATCTCTATTTTGCTGAACCTAAGCATTTTGTATGTTATTTGATTGATGGTCAGTAATGTTCTATTACTTCACTTCTAGATTGAAGGTGCTGTTTTAAACTCACATTTGAGGAGCCCAAATCTTGAACGATCTGAAGTCATGTATAACGAAGGAGTCCCTGAATTTGTTGTTGATCAGAACATGTACTACCCTGCTGCCACCAATTATGGGTATTACTGTACAGGTGAATAATAGGGTTTTGAATCAGCACTTTCGGATGTGTATTTTGGCAGTATCTTGATATGTTATTTTTTTCCCATTTATTGTTGTTAGGATTTGAACCACCCGGTGAATGGGAGGACCACAATAGGATTTTTGGTGTAGATGGTCCTGATATCCAGTATACGGTAAGTAGAATCTCCCATCCCAACGCCGAACAATTTCTGACCTATTTTAGTGTAGCTGTTGATCTAAATGCTTTTGTTTCTGCTGCAGGGTGCTCAGAATGAAAGTATGCCTTATGTATATTATACACCTAATTATGGATATGCACAGTCTCCATACAATCCTTACAATCCTTACATTCCTGGTGCTATGATAGGAGTTGATGGCCCGTTTGGAGGGGCACATCAGTATTACACCCTCCCCAATTATCAAAACCCTGTTTCTTCACCTGCTTACATTCCTCTTGTTGTTCAACCGGACATTTTTCCTGATAGTTCTGTTGACTCCTTGTTCGAGATTGGTGCTTCTGGCGGTAGATCTGATGGAAGAGGTTTGAAACATAAGTTCAATCCAGCTTCTGGTGCTGTTAGTAGGAACTCTTCAAAATATTTATCAAATCAGGCAAGTTCCTTGACCAGGGTATCAGAAGGCCCTAGAGCTAATGCTAATGGGAAGCAAGCTGTGACACATGGAAGTGTTTCTGGCCGTGGTTTTCTCAACTTGGCTTCACCTGTTCATCAGGTAGGAATTCCTCCCACTTTCAGTTACGGGTTCAGTGTATTCTATTAAAATTGAAAAAGGGGGGCGGGATTGGGCCACTCACCTCAGCATGAGATTCACTAACTTTTTGTTGCAAGATACTATTCAAGGCTAGTGCTTCTCCCACCATGAGAGGCAGTAACGTAAACCAAGCACTACCATGGAGCTGCCTTTGTCAATTTTTTCAGATCTTCCAGACTAGCATTTTTTATGCCTTTCTTTTTGGAAGCAAAAAAGGGATGCATTTGCACATAAACCCTCCCTTCCAACCCAAAGCTAAAGATTTAATTCAAGAATAAGGTAGAAACTTTTATTGAAGTAGGCTGTGGTTTCAAAAAAACACAAATAAGCAAACCCGCCCATAAAGGGTGACAGCCACAGACCTATTTATAGTTTGAGTTAATTAGTTAACTATATACTTTGGCATATGGCTGAACGATGATTTTGAGTGTACTTAATATTATTATGAGTTATGATTTAATGATTATTATGCTTGAGTAATAATGTTAGTGACTTAATTAGTGCATTTGATGATTATTATGTTTGAATAGTTAATTTATGTCAAATGCTATTTTTTGTTTATTTGGCATATTCTGTTCTTACTTTGATGCTTTGTTTCACCTGGGCATGTGCCTTCGTAGCACCTCTTGTTCAAGGCATTTTAGAGGTCTAGTACCCTTAAGAGTGCCTTTTGCTTTTGCCTACCTCTGATCCTTTGCTCCTTGAAGTTTCAGAACTTCCTTGAAGGATCCTCTTATGGTTATACCTGCCTTTTGTTTTGTAGGCTAGAGGAGCTGGTGCCTCAATCCAACCTGTAGATAATGTTTCAAACGAGAATGCTTTGTCTCATCATAATCAATTGAAAGCGGCTCTTCCTTCAAATACTGAATCTTCTGACTTTGGTTCTAGTGCTAATGGGCTGTCTACAGTTGGTAAATTTAGACCAAAGATTCCCATTAGCAAAGTGCCGAATGATGTAAATGGAAGTTTTGATGCTTTGGGTGAACAAAATAGAGGTCCTAGAATCAATAGATCAAAGCATCAATTGACTGTGAAGGCCTATACAACCAAGGCGGGAGACAGTAATGCACAGGGGAACATCATGATTTATACAGATCAGTATAACAAAGATGATTTTCTTCTTGAATATGAAAATGCCAAGTTCTTTGTCATAAAGTCATACAGTGAGGATGATGTTCACAAAAGCATTAAATATAATGTCTGGTCATCTACACCTCATGGAAACAAGAAACTGCAGAGTGTTTTTGAAGATGCAAAGAAAATAGCCGGGGGAAAATCTGGAGGCTGTCCTATATTTTTATTTTTTTCTGTAAGTTTATATGGTGTGGAATGTGGATGCATTCAATGTGTTCCAATTATGCCCCCCTTTTCTATTTGTATAAAGGGAAAACTTATATACTTTGCCTTGTATACTCAAAGTGCTTGTCTCCAATTAAATCAAGACGTGAATCTTTTATAGATAATAATATTTATAACAAGAAATAACAAAGTCTTGTTATTAATATCATCAACCTTAAAATCCAGTTGTTTTGATTTGAATGGATAAAAGTATATGATGTATGTGAGGCTAAGTACTTGAATCTTGCCCTTTGTATAATCAGATAAAATCTCTGTGCAAGTCTGTCACTTATTTTTCCATGCTTACTGTTGATAATTTTTTTCATGCAGGTCAACGCCAGTGGACAATTCTGTGGTGTTGCAGAGATGGTAGGTCCAGTTGACTTTAACAAAGATATGGACTTTTGGCAGCAGGATAAATGGAGTGGCAGCTTCCCTGTAAGGTGGCACATCATCAAAGATGTGCCTAATGCAAATTTTAGGCACATTATACTTGAGAACAATGAGAACAAGCCAGTCACCAATAGTAGAGATACTCAAGAGGTAGAAAACTTTTTAATCAGCAGTTTCTTTAAACCAATGTAGAATTGGCAATTTGAGTTAATATTCAACATTGATGTCTCTGTAGTAGGCTTGTGGAACCTCTGTATCTGTTCTCAAGGGTTTTTTTTTTTTTTTTTTTTGCTTTTTGCTTTTTGCTTCTCCCATCTGAAGTTTGTTTCCCGTTGCAATTTGGTGCCCTTCTGATGAGGATTATTACCTGTGACTGGATTAGGGTTCTAAAGCCTTCAAGTCTTCAAAATTCTCTCAATAAACTTACAGACGTTCATCATATTTGATTGTATTCAATTAGCAAGGTGATTTATTTTGTCATTTGACTGTGTTCATTTAGCAGCTGTTAAGACATGAAAAGTAGACCCATGATATGTTCCTATAATTCTTTCCTGATTTGGGACAGTATTTGCCACTCTTAACTTTTTATTTCTCTGCTTGTTTCATGTTTTAGTCTACCTTCTTTATCATGGTTTTATTTGAACTTGATAAACAATTGAGATTTTTATTAGCTCTACCATTTGTCATTACTTTGACTATAAAATGCATCTGTGTATTTGCAGATAATGTACAAAAAAGGTATGGAAATGCTGAAGATATTCAAAAATCATAATTTGAAGACATCTTTGCTAGATGACTTTATGTATTATGAAAATCGTCAGAAGATCATGCAGGACGAGAAAGCCAAATTGCTTATGAAAAGTTTCGAGAGTCCATTGTTCATACCAACATCAGAACCACCTCGGAAATTAAATAATGTTGTCGAGACTCTGCCTGACAAAGTTGAGGAGATTTCTAAGCTGATTAATGATTCAAATGGCTTTGATGAGACTTCAAATTCAAGCTCTGGGCAGATTGTTATTAATCCTGATGTTACCAGTTCACAATCTGTGGATGACAAGGCTAATAAAATTGCAGTTGACAGTGAAGATATTACCTCAACGTTGAAGATCGGTTCAGTTACCATCACCCCAAAACCGGTTGATCCTAAACCGCCTGCAGTTGGTCTTGCTAACAAAGAGCCAACTGATGTTCTAACAGTTGGCTCCATGCAAGTCAAAGTCAACGGATATGCTGGGTCTTCTGGGATTTTGAAGGTCGGGAGTATCCCACTTGATCCAAGAGCGTTACAACTGGATAAAGGAGGATCATCTGTTAAGAATGCATCTCAACGTTAATGATGGGCCATAACAGTGCTATTCCTTTGGTTGAAGATGAATTGATGTCTGTCTGGTCGATGCTTTACAAGTGCTAAATACTTTACCAAAAAAAGGTGTCGCAAAATACTTTGCCAAAAGAAAAAGAAAAAAGAAGGGTCTGGAAGTTTGAGTTTCTTTTTCATCTTTTGTAGTTCTCTGTCTTCTTTCTCTGGTTCAGTCCCCACCATTGCTAGTTACTGTGTCATTCTGATTTCAAAGGGATCTGTGCTCACGGTGGTGCTGCCTCTGAAAGCGAGTAGTGGTGCTGCCTCCGAAAGCGAGTATGATACAGCGTAACTTTTCTTGCGTTTTACCTTGCTGCGGTTAAGATACGAGTGAATTTATTGTTTCTTTTTGTTGCTGTTTCATCCAAAGCCATACTCGACGTTAGTTTGAACTCTCTGTAACTTTCTTCTCTGTGCTTACTATTTGCAAAGATTGTCATTCTGTTTATTCCCTAAATTTACCTTACATTGTTTTGCTGAAGATGACGGAACGTAATGGAGAGATTTATTTCAAAGAATTTAATTTACCGGTAGTTCTTATTTATGTTTATTCTAATTGGTGCTGATCATATTCCATGGGATCTAGCGTATTTTAGTTTCTGCTTTTATCATTTAATTTATTCTGATTACTGGAATAGGAATTTCATGGATTATAGAGTGGGGATATGAGAAGGGTTAACAACAGCTTCAATGATTGCGAAGGCTTATTAGATTATACTTGTTGCTTGAGCTTTGTTATGATAAATGCTTTTAGGAGAGCTCTTGGGTCTCACAATACATAAATTTAATAATTTAATCTAATCTAATAGTATTAGATACAGATAATGATATGAAAAATAAACTGGATTCAGTGGAAGGCCAAGTTTTAAATGCACAATGATTAGTCAAGCATGGACTAAATCATCCATGGAGAAGTCAATGTGCATGTTAGGGTACTCGGTTTTTTCCCCCACCTATTAGTCATCCCAGTAATTGATTTGTTTAATTAAACTGCTTCTCTCAAGTTTGGGAAAATTACTTAAAAAGACTTACCACAATGTTTATTGCTCACGAGGATTTGAAATTTGGAGTGGAACCTGGTTCCTGTGGTGTCAATATGTTCAAGAGTTAAATAACTAAGTTATCTTTAACCAAATCCTCTACTTCTCTCTTCTCCCACTCCCATTTTTGACATCGTTATGGCCGCAGCTCGGTAATTCGACAGCGACAATGGAGGATAAGGAAAGGTCTTGGTTACTTGATATCTCTCTGGTTCATTGATAATTTTCTCTCCTCCGATTCCTATCCCTAAGTCCTTTGATATGGGATCTATCGGTGTCCTCATGCTCAATGCTCCGCCTCACCTTTCGACCCCAATTTCAGCTCCTCCCTCCAACGGCCTCACCTTTCGACCCCAATCTCATTCTAATTTTCCCTTCATTTGATTTCATGTCTTTACGATATGCTTTCCATGTATTTTTGCAGTTGCAGGACCACAGGTTTAATGGATATTAATTGTTAGCTTTTTTGGTTTTTAACATGTTTATCTTTAGGTTCTTCATTTTACTTTTCCTGGCATATCCTGATTAGACATTGCCTTGTGACTTCGAATCTTGCAATGCCTTGCAAAGTTTATCATTGGTTTCCCCTGGCTTCTCTTACAAAAATTAACCATGGGCTGTTAGAATCCAATAAGCTATGCAGAAAGATTTGAACTTTATTGCATAAAGCTTTTTTTTTAGTCTACACAATTAACTTTTCGGGGAACTATTGTGATTTCTAGAACTATTCATCTTTCATCTTACCTAAGTGTGCCTCTTACAAGACTATTGTGTCAATCTAGTAATTGGGATCTTTTTATATTTCCTATATTCAACTTCAATGGTTTGGGATTGTTTTGAGACTAAGAATGGGTACGTTTAGACAATAATCTAGCTTTCTTGCATTGTGTAATGACCTTTGCCAACTAAAATTAAACTTCCCTAAACGTACAAACCCTAAATATTTAGGATCAACCATGGCTATTACAATTATTAACTTCATAAAGGCTATCTTTAATGTTGGGATCTCAAAGATAGTTAATAAAAATCAAATATGCTGAAATATGGAAAATGGGAGTAACCTTAAGTACAACATAAATTCAGGTCAAAAATGTCTTTTCACAAAATTGGCATGTTTGTTGTGACTAAAAGTCTATCTGCCTTGGCCAATTATCCACTAACACATTTGCATGGCTAAACATACTTCTATCACAGCTAGTGATATAAAGGCCACCTTGCTGCAACCACTACTCATGCACACGCTTGTCACAACCTGATGCATTCTGCGACAGCAAACCTTGCATATCAGCACAAATTGACAACAATCAAAAATAACTTTTAAAATTCCTATTTAAACACTACGATATCCGATTAAGGTGATTCAAACTCTCATATGTAGGCAAATTAACAATTTAACCAGTGATTCCAGTTATAAACCAATCTGCTATCATATGAGGATCCTACAGCATTTAGTGCTAAGCAAGCAATTAAGCTTTATGCACAAGTACAAGTGCCTCCCCTATAAGCAACTTCTAACTAGATTACAAGTAACCAAATTCATGTATAAGCCCTTCATACTCAATAATATATAAAAACATGTATCAACAAGCATTAATCAACATCTTCACATATTTGCATATTGAGCCTTTTCATAAAACATAAGGCCAGCCACCAAAATGCCCAAGTTAACATCTAGGGCTAACAAGCATTTGTGAAATAATTCAAACAAGAAAATGAGATGTAGCTAAGCATGTATAAACTTATAATGTTGACAATAATAAGTATTCAAATACATAAATTACAAAGCTAGAGGCTTTACTAAAGAATTAAGATTCTCTAACCTTTGATGCTTTCCCTTTAACCACATACTTAGCATTTCCTAAAAAGTATTAAACAATAGGAGTGAAATTATGCAATCTTAGTAACCAAGACACATAAATCCAAGTACATAAAAGTGTGGCAAATGCAAACATATAAGGCAAGGATTTACAGTTAACATTCTATTAATATTCAACATATATCACAAGATCATTAACTATTAATCACAAAGCATATAATGAAATGATGATAATTATGTATAATCATATGCTTTCCATTCTTATTTCTCTCCTTATATTTTTTGGCTGATTTTATGGGCTATTAAATTGTATGGAACTAACTTATGTACCGAATTAGCTTTACTCTCCATTTGTAAGGGGTGATCTGGCTAAGGCCCCATTCTCACTCTCAGCCTATGGATTCCCCAATTTTGAACTTATGGAGTATTGTACGTCACCACGCATAAGTCATGGAAAACACAAAGTCAGCTTTCTGTACCATATGCCACAAAATTGTCAAAGAAATCCACATAGTATGGTGACCATTTGGAACTCGATAGCTTACTTGTAATTATTTATCGTCTTACTTGTTCTTCAAGGGCTATCTCACTTGTTCAATAAAGAACTCAAACCTAACTAGTCTTCACTTGTTTTATGAAGGGACTAGCTTAAGGTTACAATACCAGTGAGTATAGTAGCCTTATTTGGGTAACTTCTCATAAGTGAAAGGCTTAAGTAGTCCAATCACATGAATAAACCTCAAAATTGCTCATAGTTTTATTTTAGAAGTACTGGGAGGGTATAAGGATGGCTTGATCATATATACATCTGATTGCCACATGATTGTTAGTATTGTGGCCTCGAATATCATTATAAAAGGCACACAATTGTTAGTATTATGACCCTTGCATAATATGTTAAGTTGCATGGTTGTTCTTGTTATGACAAGTATTGAGATATTATTTCTTAATTACATAGTTGTTAGTGTTGTGGCTGTGAATGTTTGGTGGTTAATAAGTTTGTATGTTATTGTTGTTAAAGCTATTTGCATCATTATAATTGATTAACATTTTGTATAGGCTAAACATACTTTGGTTATTGAGTAGTTGTACCTACCTTTCTATCTTTAATATTTACACATGCTAGCTCGAGTCAAGATAGAGGGAAAGCACCAGAGGCTTAGGAATATAATTTCCTAACTATAGGCCTCCTATATTATGTTTCATTATGTGTATTCATTTATGACATTGCTAGCTAGGAACCTCATATTTTGTGTTTACTTGCATTATATGTTGAATTGAGTTAAGTATTGTATTTTGGATTATTGTAACATCCCAAAAATTATTCCCTTGAATAATTAAGCTAATGAAGAGTAAATTTATAAATTTAAATATAAATGAATTTAAGAATGGTTAGAGACGATTATTGGGTTTGGTTTTAGCTTTTGTATTGGGTTTAGAAGTGAATTAAGTCTCTCGAACTTAAATTGTAGAGAAAAATTGAATTTTTACCCCACTGTGCTTTATGTTGCAGCATAAAATTTATACTGTAGCATAATTTTCAAAATTAACTTTTTTTAAAAACATGAAAATGTTTGAAACAAGGTGAGATGAGTTTGAAATAGAGGGATGGCGATGAAGAGAATTGTTCCTCTACTAGGGTATCAACGTTTAGGCATTTTAGAGGTGATTGGAGCTTAATTTCACTTAGGTTGGGAGATGATGATTTTCAGACCTAGAGCTATGGGTCTGAATCTATGGGTCTGAATGAGACTAATAGGAGTTGTTTGAGTTATCTAAGCTTAAAGATAATAGTTTTATGCGTCCTTGAGAGTGGGCTCTTAGTTATGGATGAATTTGTGCATTTTAATGCCATAAATGGTGGTGCTTGGGTAGGTGGCTGCCATTGATGTTGATTAAGGATTGTGTTAATATTAGTTAGAGCTAAAAGGAGTTAATAAACCTAATATGGTGATTAAACTCAGGAGCTGAGAGTTTTGGATGATTAAAGTGTTTAAATTTAAGAGTTGGAAGTAAGTAATTTATGATATTAATGATAATTTTGAATTTTTGGATGATATATTAGTGATTATTTAAGTCTTTCAAAGTTAAATGAAGATAATGGGAGTTAATAAAGTTATTGGATGTAAGGTTGATCTTGTAGTTGAGAAATTTAATTATTAAAGTATGAAATTAGATGTTGGAAGTGGTGATTTTAATGGTTATTAGTGATAGGTGTTAATATAATTGTATACTAACCTCACGTAGCACCGGTGAGTTTGAATTTAGCTTGAAAAGCAAGTTATGATTGAGGGATAACATTTGACTTCTTAAAGGTTTGGGGTAAATAGAGGAAACCTTATTTATATAGTTGTATGTTAATTAAGTAGTTGAAATTTATGATTTGAAACTTGTTTGATGTGTAGAAAGTTATTGATGCAATTTTGACATTGTGTGGTATTATACATGAAATGGCTTTTAAAAAATGAAGAGTTTTGTGCATGATACATATGTGTGAAGCAATTATACCATTTGACTGTGATATTGAGAAAATATTAACATATGTGATACACACATGCATATATATATATATATATATATATATATATAATATGTGGAGTTTACTGGGAGTGAAAATTAATGTGGACATGACATGATATTGTGAATTTGGTCACATTTGTAATATGTGTAACCTATGCATACCATGAT